ATATCATCGAGTCGTATTCTGGTTGATGTGTTTCATACCAATTGTAAGGCCTTTGTTTTTTTTTAACTGACTTTTTAAACGGAATGTCCCGTCAACCTGTTGAGTATATCTAGAGATGACAGTGGGTGTGACCAGTTACCAGAGGATGCTTTACTCCCCTTAGACACCTCTGAATATCTGGATGCCTGTGTACCATGTCGTTTTCATGACTTGTATGATTTTTCTTTAGAGAAATCGATCACTAATCGTTCATCATTATTTTACTTCTAAAAAATATTATCATAAAAATATTTTTATAGGCTTTGAGCAGCGAGAGTTCTTCTTCATACTAACGCCTACCATGCTTATATATTAAAATTGTTATTTAAAAAGGTAGAATTCATTTTACGATTACAATTGATTAAAAAAGTTTACATAACAAAACATGGAGTTTATTTCATGTCAATCGCCAGGCATTAAATTGAACAGATAAATTTGTGAATGTTATAAAAGAAAACAAAATGCTTGTTATATACCTTTACGTATGATATATTTATATATTTTTCTTTTCCCTACTCTGATATGTATCATTGTGATGTATGTTACAATTTATATCCAATGTTGTATATTGCATATGCTTTTATGTAGTTTTTGTCGTGCCCCCGTAATCCGATTCGGGGTATATAGTTTTTTTTTTTGTGTCCGTCTGTCTGTCTGTCTAGCTTTTTGTCTGTCTGTTTGCCCACAAAAAATTTAACTTTGCTCATAACTTTTCATTTAGTGGAGTTATGACTTCCATATTCTACAAGTGTATTCCTTGTGACAAGATCTTTCTTTGAGTACCACCAAATTTGGCTTTTTGACCTTGACCTTGGCGTTTGACCCACTTTTCAAAAATTCCAAACTTTTACTTCGGTCATAACTTTTGAACGGTAGACACTAGGACTTTCATATTTCACTGATGTATTTTTTGTGGCAAGACCTTTCATTTGAAACCAACAATTTTGACCTTGACCTTGGAGATTTCCGTACTCATGAAAAAACTTTAACCTTGGCAATACATTTTGAACGGTATGGACTGAGGCTTTCATTCTTCATATGTGTATCCCCTGTGAGAAGACCTTTCGTTGGATATCAAGAACGTTGACCCTTTGGTCTTGCCCTTGGAGTTTGACATACCTTTAAAAAACAAATCTTGGCTTTAACTTTGAAGGGCTTTCGTACATGTACTTCTCATATTCAATCCTTGTGACAAGACCTTTCATTGGATATCAAGAACTTTGACCCTTTGACCTTGGAGTTTGACCTACTTTTTAAAAACTTTAACCTTAGCCATAACTTTTGAACGGTTAGGGCTAGGGCTTTCATACTTCACATATGTAAAACTTGTGACAATACCTTTCTTAAGAAACCAACAACTTTGACCCTTTGACCTTGACCCCGGAGTTTGACCTACCTTTCAAAAACTTATAACTTTTGAACAGGTGTGCTAGGGCTTTCATATTTCACACTCGTATTTCTTGTGAGAAGACCCTACTTTGGGTACTAATACATTTAATTTGAATTTAAGAAAAGTTTAATCTTTGCTATGTTGCTATACGGGGGCATCAGTGTTTCACAGACACATCTTGTTTTTATCAACTTGATAAGTCGCGACCGCGATTCGAATTCAAGACCTTTCGATCACATAGCGAGCGCTCTCGGGTACCGTGAAAGAAAAACCTGTTAGAACACACTTTCCTCATTTGTATGCACAGGCGCTTGACGTTTTTAACCTTTCTCTTTATAAATAAAAAATTTCCATACTATAATAATAACCGGTTATTATTATAGTAGGGAATTTTTTTATTCATAAAGAGAAAGGTTAAAAACGTCAAGCGCCTATTTTTGTATGCTACTCAAGGCATTCATGTTTTAAATTCTTTACAAAAAATTCTTTTGTGATTAACCTTTATGAGTTTATCATGCTATTTCTTTTTTTCTCTTTCATTTAACGATGAATTGATTAAAGTTTCATATTACTTATTTTCGGATAATTATACTCAATCACAAATTCTATTGTAAACTTCTGTACGTCAACAAAAGTCATCAAGATTCAGAATCCACGTTCTTCATTTCATATTAATTGATCAAAACTCTCTCCTTTGTGTAGTCATATATGATTCAGGTGAGCCTCATTTTCGGTTGTTTTGACTTGTTTAGAATACAATGATCTGTTATATTATCACCCAAAAGTCTAGGAATGACTGTCGTATATTTGATTAAAGGAAGTATATCTGTATCAAAGAGAGAAAAAAAAATCATAGCATCGATTTCATTTCAGGTATTTTATTTATAGGTAGTTTGAAAGCTTCACATGAAATTCTGTAGATCAAACAAGGTTCATTATTTGTTGATTTATTCGATATCAAGAATTATGAACTTTGTGACTTCTACCAGTTTTTTGTTGTTTTTTTTTTACAAATTGAGAGGGAAAGGTTAACAGCGTTATAATGCAATTTAAGGTACATCGATACTCTGATAAGAGAGGTAACTCTTAATGACAAAAATATCTATTATCCTTTTATTAATTTGTTAAGTTGAAGTGTCATTTTTTGTCCAATTTTGCGCCGCAAGCAATTCTATAATGGTTTGAATTTTACTTAGCATTTATATTTCCTTTGGAAAATTATAAGAGTTAAAGAAAAGGTTTATATATGAGTGAGCAGAAGGTCTATATGAATTTTAAGTAATAAGTCTTTATAACACAAAAAAGCGTAAGAACTCCGCGCATGATCCTGGTGCCTTGGCAAAAAAAATAAAATTTTCAACAGTTACAAAAGCTCGACATGAAAAGAGACCATTACACCTTCATCGAAAGGTGATTGCCAGTACGCCTTCTTAAAAAGCGTTTGTTATATAATGACAAACAAACAAACAAAAAGATTATAACGCTTTTCAAAACGCATACGAATGCCAAGTTAATATGTGATGTGTTATATTATCATAATGACTAGATGAAGGATAGGATCAAAGCCAGCTTTATTTTTTTTTATCCTTTTTCATACTCTTGTGCATCAGACAGGTAAGTGATAACATGTGATAAAAAGAGACGTGATTATTCCACCAAAGTCGTGAAAGTCGTGACCAGTAGGTCCAGGGTTCAGACCGGAGTGTGTTTAGAATTTTTTATTATTTATTTATTTTTTTATTTATTTATTTATTTTGTAACCAAAATGGTAAAATATTTCCTTGAATATATTATTAACCATTTTAAATTCTATATAAAAAAAATCATTTGAGAAAAAAAAGACTGCATACTTTATACTTTCATCCTATTAGACTTTTAAAAATACATTTTATCAAAACTGTTAAATTATAATTACAGATTTACATTTTATTTTCTTAAATACCGTGTACAACACATAAACCCATAATTTGAGTATTCTAAGCATGTTTAATATTGTAAAGTATACAAGGGATAACTTAATCCTCTTCATCTCTTTAAAAAACAAGATGTGTTTGTGAAACACTGATGCCCCCGTATGGCAACATGCTCAGTAGCAAAGGTTAAACTTTCTCTAAGGCAAATCAAATACTAGTATCCTGGTACCACAAAAAGGCCTTCTCAGAAGAAATACCATTGTGAAATATGAAAAGCCCTAGCAATACCTGTTGAAAAGTTATGGCCAAGGTGAAAGTTTTTTTTTTAATTAGGCCAAACCCCTAGGTCAAGGTCAGGTCAAAGTTATTGGTTTCTAAGGAAAGGTCTTGTCACAAGAATTTCATATTTGAAGTATGAAAGTCATAGCTTTAACCGTTCAAAAGTTATGACCAATATTAAAGTTTTTTAAAACATGATCAAACTTCTAGGTCAAGGTCAAAGGGTCAAAGTTGTATATATCCTAGGAAAGATCTCGTCACAAGGATTATACATGTAAAGTATGAAAGCCCTAGCCCTCACCGTTAAAAAGTTATGGCCAAGGTTAGATTTTTTTTTAAAGTAGGTCAATCTGCCAGAGTCAAGGTCAAGGTGTCAAAGTTTTTGCACAGGAGTTTGCGTACCTATCAATTTTACCGAAATTTTCAGTAAATCAAAAAATACGTAATACCTACATGTATAATAAAAACACGTGTAAAATTGAACTTCTGTGGTTTTTGGAATCCAATGAAAGGTCTTGCCACACAGAATTCATCGAGAAGTATGAAAGTCCTAGCTCCAACCGTTTAAAAGTTATGTCGAAAGTAAACATATGTGAAGTATGAAAGACCTAGCCCTTACCGTTCAAAAGCTATGGCCGAGGTTTAGGTTTTTTTAAAAGTAGGTCAATCTCCAAGGTCAAGTTTAAAAAGTCAAAGTTGTTGGTATTCTATGAAATAGAATAGGTCTTGTCATAAAATACTAGCTGTTACATATGTGAAGTATGAAATTCCTAGTATCTACCGTTCAAAAGTTATGGCCAAAGTAAAAGTGTGTTTTTGTAGGTCAAACTACGAGGTCAAGGCCAAGGGGTTAAATTTGGTGGTACCCAAAGAAAGGTCTTGTCACAAGGAATACACATGTGAAACATGAAACCCATAACCCCACCCACTCAAAATCTATGGGCAAGGTTAAAGTTCTTGCGGACAAACAGACAGACAGACGGATGGACAGGGCAAAAACTACATATCCCCGACACTTCGTTTACGGGGGAGGGCATAAAAATCATGTGAAAAAAAAATCTTTGGATTGCTGTTTTCGACTTTTTATTTTTCAATTTTTTTTTTGAATTGAATTATAAAACTTGAAACAAAATCGATGGCTCCTTGAGGGATTCGTGAAATTTCGACTGGGCTAGCAAAATACCCGAGTCTGATTTGTCTTTGGAAAAAATGGATGCAACTTTATCTTATTTTTTCATCAAAATTAAATATTTTAGTTTAAAGCCGGATTTCGAACTTTACTCGTTTTAAATTTTTTTCAGATGTTTTCTTACTTAATTCTCCCTTCCCTGTATGAATTAGTATGAGGTTCTTTATTCCATTGATAAAGAAATACGGACCTCGAAAATCTCATCGGGTTCGGGATACAAACGTTTTGGTTCCAACATCAACAGAAAATAATGAGTTTAGTTCCGTCAGGCGTTAGTGTTGTTATAATAACAACTTTGCATCCACTGGGTTATGCAAAAGTTTTAATACAGGTTGTTACCTTATTTTTTATCATTGTTACTTTGTAGAAATGCTTAAAGAAATTCATATGTCTCATTTCAAGAAATGAAAGTAGAAACTATTCATTTCGAATTTTCTCAGTGTTAAAAGTCCTGTTCAAGCAACCTAAAGGTCATAGTGATGGTTGCTTAAATATTAAGTTTCTTTTCAGTTAGGGAACGAACCAGTGTCTCCGTATTTGGCAAAGTCTCCACTTTGGCGGAAACCACAGTATTACTATCCAAATGTCCTTCAATATAGTAGGTGTTCTTTTAAATTCATCAGGTCCAGCACAATACCCTGATAAAGGTATATAGCTAGATAAAGCTATATAGCTTTATCAAGGTATTACAGATACCTTGATCAAGGTATTTTATTTAATGAAAATTCAAAAAAAATCTTTAAAAATTAAATACTGAAAGTCGAGTTCTGACTTTTTGTCATTTTGTCCACTCATGCATGAAAAGCACTCTGGTATCTAAAAGACAGCATAAAAAACGTCTCCTCACACGACATGCTGTTATACTGATTTATTTGTGTTTGAGTACTTTACATGCATGGGTGAATTTACTGACAACAACTCAGAACTCAACTTTCAGTATTTAATTTTTCAAGATTTTTTTTGAATTTTCATTACATAGAATACCTTGATCAAGGTATTAGTAATACCTTAATAAAGCTATATAGCTTTATCAGGACATTGTGCTGGACCTGTTCATTTCATGTTCAACTGAACTTTCCAAATGAAAGATTCTCTGATTGTAAACAGCTTATGTTATTCTTATTATTAATTTCTACAGATAAACAATCATGGTGGTTTTGATTTATACTCTCAGTGTGTATATATTTATTCATAATGTCTTATATATATGGCATTGCAAATTGTAAAGTGAAAACGCGTAAAACCATTTGGGACCAAGATAATAATTACTTTGAAGAACCTTATGATTATGAATATGAAGAATATAATAGATAAGAATGTTTGTTTTAGTTCGACACATTAAAAGAAGAGATGGATTTTTTGGATTGTACAGAGGGCTAGTACCAAGAATTCTGGAGGGCATTGTTGGGAGTTTTGTGACACAAAATGTGACTGAGGTAAGAATTCTGTGGGGAACAAAACATTGTATTTATCATGGTTGGTACATTAATGTATATATGTGTGTCGGATACCTACATGTACATCTGAGTATTTCATACATGCCAACTTTTGAAAATTCCCATGGGGGATTTAGCGCGTGACGACAATTTTCAAAGCTTTAAATTCACGACATTTTGTCGTGAAATTGAATGATTATGAAATTATCTTTTTTTTTAATTTATAATATTGATATTACTTATCAATACAACTTTTAAGGATTAATTTAACACAAAAAAATAATGTTTTTCTTTCCAAAATTTAAATATTTTTGCTAAAATAGGTGCCTCTCTCACTAAAGAAGGGGTATTTTGTTACATATGTAAACAAAATTTTTTTTTCTACCATGACACATAATTTAGTAAAAAATTGAAAAATGTATAACTTTTAAATCATTTTTTTCAAAGGCAAAAAAATATACAAGGTTTTGATACTGTAAAATCTCGTTTCTGGAAAAAATTTGAGATTTTTTTTATTAAATTTCAATTAATTAAAAATTCTAATAAGATATTAAATTTACAGAAATTTATACCACCTATTCAAAAAAGAATAATTTTTGTTACAGTCATAAAATTTGTCAGGCTTGATGGTGCCATGTGGGTATTTCCTTAAGTCATGCACTTACTGATTTTATGGTTTGATTAGTATTTTATTGTCTTTAATTTAGGTTTTTAATAAAATGACTAACTGTTATCAGATTAATCTATGTGTTTCATCTTGCATACCCCTTAAAACTGACAAGATAATCCCCTAATTGCCCCAAGCTATAAGCTACTTGTACCTGGACAACTCCGTGCGTTCAAGCGTGAAATGATTTCCTGTGGCTATAGGCCTAATTTACACCTGGTTAAATAAACAATGAAACTTATCTGTGTGCATTGAATAAACAAGTCTGACATTGTTTATCCCGATTGTCAAAATTCAGTGGTAGGGAAACTTTTAAAATCGAAAATTTTGGTGATCTTTTTTCAAATCGGGAAATAAGGCAAATTTTTCTTTCCCGATCGGGAGGGCGGGATGAAAGGGTAAAATCGGGAGAATCCCGCCTAAATCGGGAAAGTTGGCATGTATGGTATTTTCTTTTGTAAAGTCTATATATGAACTGAAACAGCTGACAAAGGCATATTTGCAGATTCGTCAATTTCTCTAGAGAGAATAGCTAAACAACAAACTTGTTAATGTGTTGATTTTCAAAATGATCACAAATGATAATTTTTGAGTCCTGTGTTTTACTATGATGCCCCACATACAACAACATGTACATTGTCTAACATTTTCAAAAGGAGGGTCTGCATGAATTGAGATTTAAAGGACAGAATTTACATTCAAATGTAAAAATCATTTTTATACACATATATAACACTTTCCAGGTGGATAAATCCTTTTGCTATGGAGTGTATACAGTGATTTTTCTACACTCAATTTAGGTCCGAATATCGGCCCTTTCCCCTCTCAAAAATTACAGATTTTTTCCAAATTTTCAACAGCTTTTTTCTCAAAATGTATTGTTTTGGTTATATTGAATTTTTTATGTATGACTTATCTAAAATGGAACACTATTGTTTTTGGTCATTCGGACGCTTAAAATAATGGCGAAAAACAGCACTTTGTTTGTGCGTTTGCAAGACTTGGAAAAACACAAAGATCATGATGTCAAACTTGTGTGTCAGTACATCGTAAGAAATTTAACATGCACTTGAATCGGTTAGACATAGCTTTATTTGTAAATTGCAAGTACTAGTAGTTCTACAACAAGCTTCCTTGATTTCATGAAAATTAACTGTTTCTTCATCCTGCAGAAGACTAGCATTGCAGAGAAATACAGCAATGCATGCTTGTAAATCTTGTCAAGATTATTCCATCTCCAATGCGAGCAATAACGAGAAATCAGGAATGAATTTTTTTTCAATTATGTCTACCACTATGGCGAAAAATGGGATATAGGACAATCAAAGAACAAAAATGGAAGAAAATTTAAAATGTAGAACTGTGTCCATTTTGTTGAAAAAAATTTAGCAAATAAATTAAATATATGATATTACATTTACTTATATATCAATTTTATTTACTTGTCAACATGAAGGTTAATTACAATCTTATTGTTTTTCCCAATTTGACACAAATGTCGACAATTTTTCCCAATTGAAAAGGCCCAGGCCCCTTTTAAAAATTGTAGAAAAATCACTGAGTATATAGTAGTTCTATGATCCCACCCCCCCCCCCCCCAACAGACTGCTATTGCAGCTGGTACTGTATCTAAGTACATGAAGTATACTTTATCTATAGAGGATGTAGTTCTGTGAACTAGCTCTACATACTGTTATTCTAGCTGCAGTACTTTATTTTCTATTTCAGTACATGAAGAAGAAGTATCCCATCAATGAAAATGAAGAAGGACCAGAAGTTGTTGTATTTTTCAAACACTTTGCTCTACAGGTACGTAAACGAAGATTTATTTATAAGGTATACTTGCTTTATTTACATCGTTCATTGTTAAAGGTTCCTCCTGTATATTTGAAAGAAGATTTCTATTTCAAAAGTTTCAAGTTTCTGAGAAAATATTTTACATATTTAAAAGTTTTAAAACATTCCATAATAATTTGATCCAATAAATAGAAACTACGCCATACACTCATTTGTTGATAATTGTGAAAATTGAAATATGAGTCTTATTCTGGCAGCAGGGCTTGTTTTAAATTTCTTCTTGTTTAAAATAAGACCAGGGGTAGACATTAACTTTTATTTCCACTTGTCCTTCGGGCAAGTGAACTACAATTTTGACTTGCCCGAATGCAAAATTTGGTTGCCCAAAATTTTTGAAGAAAAAAAAACAGTTATTGTACCTTAATTTGTTGTAATTATAAAAGTTGACAAATTAATCTCTGTTTTGAAGTTATTACTGCCAGAAAAAAATGTTGATATGATGGTGATGCTATATTAATTTTGTAAATGTACATGTATATAAAACACTTTCCTGTCATTTACATGTAACTATCCTGAAAACACAGAGTATGCAGGAATATTATTTTCTTACGATTTTTGTTTGAAATTCTAATTTTTCCTATAAAAAATTGAGGTGAAGCCAGAAGGAAGAATACATCGTGCACCGTGAATAATTGGTGTTCTTCATATAATTCCTTAATTGGGTAGAGAAAGTATTCTGTAATCTCTCTTTCATAATAAGACTGTAATGTAAGTTGTCAGACAGATAATCGTATGTTAAACTATGAAAGAAAACAGAATAACGAACCCGATTTCTGAATAAAGGTAAGATCCAGAAATGCTACCGAGGGATTCCGAATGCAACAACAATGTCCCGTTTTTGGCGGAAATCAAGTGTTTGATTTATTGTGTTGTTTATAAACTTATGTGAGATTAAAAAAAATGTTTCTGTCAGAAATATCCACTTGCCCGATCGGACAAGTACATTGATAGTTTCACTTGCCCGAACTGAGAATTTACTTGTCCCGGGCAATCGGACAACCGTTAATGTCAATCCCTGAAGACTTATTTTGTAAAGACAGGTCTAGTATAATATACCTCTAATCTATAAATTTTCAACATTTCTGCTTCAGAATGATGTTTTATTTGTTTTCATAAGAAAGATAATTATGTTGAATTAATTTTTTTTTCATTAAAAAATGCACAAAAGACTTTGTTCAAAGAAACATTGTTTTATCAGTTGTTTTTTTTAACAGGAGTACAGTGATTAATAACTATTTTGAATAAAATTCATATCAGCATCCAGCTGACAAGAATTTCTATTTCTTTTTTTTTTGTGACAGTCTTCTCAAGAAGTGGCTGCGAAAACTCTTGCAATCATGGCCAGTCAACCCCTACAAGGTTTGTTATTTAATATAATTTATTTTAATGTTGTAATTTATCTACTGTATATCAGATACTTTAGTATTTAGCTACAAGTATGAAAAATTTATCTAGATATTGATTTTATTGTAGATATACTAGCACTAAAGTTATTTAATTTTGTCTATTTAATACCAGTATTAAATTGTGATTAAGTTACCAATGTTAAGCATTAGGACACAAATGTCAAATATTCAAAATTGAAAAAAAAAAACTTTGACTTTTTTTTTTTTAAATATATGTACTAATCGTTTTTTAAACAATTTTCAATTCATATGTTGAATTAAAATAACATTCAAAGACCATGAAAATAACAACCTTAACATGAATAAATCTAATGCAAAGTACACTGTATGTGGCAATTCCATTTTCTGAAACCCAAAGAAATATAACAATTAGCAGACAAATTAATGTTTTTTAGTTGGCTGTTCCATAAATTTTACAAGCAAGACACATTAAATTCTTTTTTTGAACTGCTGAGCAATTGAAAATATAAAAGAAAATCTTGTCCCATTCATGACAATTAATTTCAAATCAAACTATAAAACTATCTTTTGTTTATGTCAAAACTTAACCATTATCTGGTCACTGAACTTGACTTGTACATTTTTAGTGATTGCCCTGCGGACCATGGCCCAGTTTGTGGGACAGGAGACTTTGTACAGGTGAGTCAGAATGGAAATACTCTAAGGTACTTTTTTCCCATGGGGTCTTAATTCCATGGAATCACAATTTCTGTTCAATCCATAGTTAGAAAATCATGGATTTTGTCGATTGATATTGTATGCCTAAGATACACTTGAACAAATTTCTGAGAAAATGGACTATGTACATAGAGGGAATAAATCCCATCTGGGAAAAAATACATCTAATGTATTATAATATGTAGAAGATAGTACCAGTAAATGTCATATGATTTCTTTTCTTTGGAGATGTAAAAAAAATTTGATAATAGATAAAATAACAATACAAAATTATCTAAAATGCATTCTGTAGATTGGAATGTTTATTTGCCTCATCAATTGTATTTTTTTTCATATTAAGATATTGGATGTTTCTATTTAAAATATTATTTTTGTATTTAGAATGAAAATGCACAAGCAATTCTTTTTTGTTACTTGTTTTTCAGAAATATATTTGTTTCTGTGATGGAAATTTATGAGAATGAAGGATTTCTAGGATTTTATTCGTAAGTTATATGCACTGAAAACACCAAATAGAATTATTTTAAAATTTCTATAGCATCCTCTAGTAAGCTTAATGTAACAATCGAATAAATCTTCCCTTAGTACTGCTCATTTTGTCACTTAATATATTGAATATTATATTACATGTATATACTTTATTCATTCATTCAACCAACCTCGGGCACTAGTACAGGCCAGCATGCAAAGCTGTACATGTAGAACATGGAGGGGGGCACTTTTTCTGAGTATAGTATTTTGCTGTAGAAAATTTTCCTTTGGATGCTGGTTGCTCCCCTTTTTATTGCTGTAATTATTTTTTTTCTTTTCAGTGGCATTATTCCACGACTGTTAGGGGATGCCCTCGCCATCATCCTGATCAACTTGATTTCCGATATTATCAACAGATATTTTATAACAGAAAAGGTCAGGGATTTATTCAATCGCAGAGGAAGGAAAAATTACTTATTGATAAGTTTGTATTACTGTACAAAGGAGGAATTTTGGCGTGGATTCAATTTTGGCATTTCTAAAAAGGATGTTGAGATCACTGAAATTAAATATTGCTAACAATTTATTCCATACAGGAGGCTCCGTTATCATTCTTGGCATCACAAAATCACTATAATTACTTATCTTGTGTACTTTAACCATACCTGTATTTGTTTTTATACGCCCGTCTTAAGACGGGACGTATTATGTTATTGACTTCCTGCTCTTTCCTTCCAGGAATACAAGGCCTACACAGCAGCCATTAGTAGTGTAAGTAAGGGCTACTGGACCACAGAGTATCTTTTTATATATGTTTTTTGAGGTTATATTCTTGTACTAGTATTAAAGATTCATGAAGGTGTCAGTGTTGTATAAAGTCTGAGTCTCAGATTTTAAAAACATGATGTACTGTAAAATCACATTTTCATGGGTCAATTTTTTTGTGATTTGAGGAAAAACTTTTGGTTCATGGGGATGAAGAATTGTTGAGTAGTTATGTATGTAACATTTTACATTTCATGGTGGACATGAATTTTTGGGTCTTTTCATACCTCCAAAACAACAAAAATTAAACCCCCATGAAAACTTGTGATTTCACAGTACATGTATTTCCTTAGTGTCATAAAAGATTTTATCATATATTTGCTAAATGCTTACATACTTTTTTTTAATACTTGAATTAATAATTTAACTGTTGAAAATCCACATAGAATACAGAGGCAAAGTATTTGTTATTTAAAGGGAGGGGAGAAAATGCAATGAACCAAAACAAAATTACATGTAATAGCAAATTTTTTCAGCCTTTCTGAGACTGTAATTATTGATACTCTTTCATGCATGATCAAATTCCTTTATAATTTCACAGTTTAAACTAGCATACTTACAGCAAGTTGAAGTTAAAATAATGAATGTTTCTATTTTTAGCTTTTTGTGACCCAATTTACTTATCCCTTTGAACTTGTGTCGAGGAACATGAGTGTGAAACCAGCAAGGTCAGATATTCTAAGTTTGAAATGTATGAATTATCTTAGAATTCTACATCAAAAATGCTAATTTATCTTAAAAATAACTTTTTTGGAATTAAACAACTGTAATATAACTATATTTATAAATTTTATTTTATTAATTTTGTAACCTGCTCTTTCTGTTTTAATTGTTTTATTAATTGTGCATGAATATATGACAGAATATCTTTTCAAGGGTTTTTTTTTTTTTGGCACATGTTTACAATGTCAATGTGACATTAATTATTTCTTACCTCTGTAATTCATGGTCTTTTCCTCTACAGGTTACTAGCCGCTCAGAATATGCCTGACTACACTGACTGGCTAGATTGTTGGAGAATGCTGAAACAAAATGTAAGTCATTGTGTAGCAGGCTCCATCCCCCATAGAATATAAGCCTTGTAAATTCATAGCCTAGGCCATCCTCAAAATAATGTTTTTTTGTCCTCTCCCGACTCAGGGTAAAAACCATGGAAAATATCAGCATACATATTAACAGGAGAAAATTCAGGAATGAAAAGGAAAAAAAATATTTACTGGAGGTTAGAAAAAGTTTTGAGTTAATTGGGCCATTTTAAGCCACCATTCAGTCAAGAGAGTGCAATCAAACAGTTTTTTTTTAAAGATGGCCTTATTGATCTAAAAATATCTGTTGATGTGTTACTTTAAATGAACAAGTTATACCTTTATAATTTGATCAATTACTGTGATTTCAGGGTGAATTACATCGTGGATCAAAGATGTTTCTGCGGGTAGCAAAGAAGGCGACATTAGAGCGATAAATATGCGTTAGCTAGAATTGGTTTGACTTCCTGTAGACAAATTCTGATTGGGTTTGGCTGGGTGTGAATCAGCATCAAAGATTTGTCAAACAACTTTATATGTCAACATTTTTAATATTTTAATGTGTATGTTCTTTATGGATATGCAGTACATGTATTTAATTTTTTTTTTAATTGTCAGATATACAATACTACCTTTTATTTCTTGATCATTAGAAATGTTACTTACGGCTCTGTACATTTTATTCTGTAAGATTTATCTTTAAACATTTTAATTATCTTAATGAATAGGTTTTAAAATTGTTAATCTTTTTTCTTGTAAATTATTTTATTAAGTACTGTTTCTATTTTTATCACATTCACATATATCTTCCTACTTGCATACTGTACATACATTTTAAATACTGATAGGCATATATTAATTATATAAAGCAGATGAACTTGAAAAAAAATGTTTACACAAACATCTGGCTTACTGAGTTTTAATACCCTTTGTAAAATTATAGTCACATTTTGGACTTCTCTAGAAATCCCTTCAGGCCAATTGAACCAATAACTTACCAACAAAACATCCTCAGATGAAAAGGATTTAAGTTTGTTGAAACACATGACTGTCCCAAAAAGGGAGGCACTATCAGGGGACCTAATTGGGAATGAATAATTCAATGGAAAAGGGGACATCTTAAAAAAACATGGTGTAAATTCATATATTTTCAGAATAAGACCCATAAGTTATGGTGGAGCTAAAGTAAAAAAGTCAAGATTTAGTCTTGTGAGAGGGATAATGCTTAGATTTTATTACAATGAAGTAGGAGCAAGTCCAATTTGAAATTAGTTTTAATAAATATATCATTAATATTCATAAAGCAAGATCAAAGATTTGGAAAATGTGTATTTTTGAGCTTAGAACATCAGGAAGGAGTTTCACATCATATTATGAAAAAAAAAATGTTGATTTGGTGAACTTTGTGGCTCCTGACATGGGCCTCCTCAAACGTTTCGTAGCCACAATGAGTACTTAGTGAGTAGTTTATTTATAACATTGTCATAGATTTATTTGAAGTGGTCCTTCTAATGACTGACAAGATAGAAATAAATAATTCAGTGGCAGGGAAATGTTGTGCCTTTCATAATAAAGATACATGTATTTACATGTCTGAGTTTAATTTTAGCTTATTTTTTTCTCCCTTGAGAATGGTAGTGTTTATGTGTACAGTAACATTCCAAGCTTGAGACAGAATATGAAGGCCAATCAATCTAACAAGAACATATAGCTCAATCAGTGAAGCATACTGCTATGTCTGAAGGTCATGTAGCTCAATCAGTCAAGTATCCAGTTACTGGTAATACATATATGTGATACATTATCTGGATCAGTGAGTGTTGGACATTGAGACTCAAGTGAGCATTGTGGACTATGGGTCACTCCTTAAGTTTCATGTCCTTTAAGCCTGATAAGTGGAACTAAACAATCAAAATTTATGCAGTTTTCAAAAATGCTTCACACTCATCAAAAGTTTGAATATTATTATTCAGAGGAGTTGGGATTTTGTTAAAAATCATTCTGATTGTTAACACAAGCTCTCTGAAGCTGATATTAAAAAGATACTTGAGTATCTGATTGGCAATATTCATGTGGTTTCTAAAGATCAGGTCTTCTAGCAATCTATTGGAGTTTCCATGGGTACCAATTGTGCCTCATTATTAGCATTCCTATTTTTGTATTCATATGCATTCAGCATATTTAGATATTTTACTTGAAAAAGACATTAATGGTAATCTAACAACCAAGCTTCTTTAACTTTTCAATTGTCAACTTCCTTTACTTATGCAGCAATATACACCTTTATCATCACATTGTCAGCCAGTTCATTTTACATGTATCAATAAGTCAAATGCTGAGTTACATTTTTCATACTAATTGCTAAGCCATTATATACACAATTAATTGTCAACAGATTTTCCCATTATTTTCTGATCATGACATTAATTATTCATGAGTAGGAGCACACAGCGGATGTGACCGCTCGGCAGGGATACTCACTCCTCCATGGCACTTGATTCCATATCTCTGACGTTTTGGAGATCTGTGTTTGCTCTGCTCCATTTTCTATTGTTTATTGGACTTCTGAGCTTGAATAATGTCTGTTATCTCCATATGTTTCATGATAGCCGCCTAATGCAGATCTTTTTTCATGATGAAGATTCTTTCATTTTCTCCTGTAAAAATTATTATTTTGATGTCTTTTCTCTGTTACTAAGTCCATTGAATATATTTTAGCCGGATAAGTTATAAAAAAAGAATATTTCATTTTTTAAAAAAGAATCTAACCGGCAATTTGTATTCCAGACCTGATTGGTTTTGTATTTAATATTTCGAAAAACTTTAGCGCCATCTAGCAGAAAACTTCGCAACCGGAACTACTGAAGTCAATAATATTTACTACTCTGCATTTTTCATGCATAGTGGGTAACAAGATTTGAAGGTGAGGTCCGTGTTAAAATCGTGATGTTCTAAGAGAATTTTAAATTTATTGTATTTTTTGCATTTGTAGTAATGCTCAGAAATCAAATAAAGTCATTCTCTTCGTAATAAATACTGATTTTATGTGGTACCATGGTCGGCGGTCGGTGAATATAATTGATACAAATATCGATAACTGCCAAATAGATCAGTCACGTTCAATGCATCATGTTAACAAGTTATGTGTGTTAACAGCAGACCTTTTTCATTGAATATTATTTGTAAGTATTAGCCTGGAAACGTATTTTTCTACTGCATGGACAACAAATCCATTGTTCACTTCTCAGTTGAGAGGTTGATACATGCTCCAAATTAATACATAATCTGATAATGTTAGACCCTAGATGATTTTTCACCAAAAAAGTCAGAATGGGCTTTTTAAAGGTTTATCATAAATCAAAAGGGAGGCACCAAACTTTGATGAACATTTGATTTTGTGGATCGACTCAACAACGAGATCCAGGAAAATTGGTGTTCCACGAATAATGATGAAACCACAGTATTAACATTTAAAATTCTTTGGTGTGGTCAAAGTATATACACAGAGAGCTGATGCAAGGTGTATTATTCCAGGTCATAGCCTCAAACAATTCAATATTTCTCTTTATTTATTTTTGGTTGAAGCTTAAAATAGATTAATTTTATACAATTAATTACCCCTTTTGAGGTCAACATGGTGAAATAAGGAACCTTGACCTGGCCCACGAGGTGACCTGTCCAGACCAAGGCAGTGTAGCGGCCAAGGTCAGGGCAGGTCATCGAGTGGGTCAGATGGAGGGTCCTTATTTCACCTTGTTGAACTCACAAGGGGTAATCAATTGTTTTATTATACCGATATATAAATCTCTAACCGTTATCAATTTTTTCTTTGATCGGGATCGGGATTCGCTACACTCCATATAGTGAAGTTGTTTACATTGACGTCTGCAAGTCATGTAAGTTTTTGCATCATGATTTAATTACTGATTAAAACAATATTTGGTTGATAGCAACACATACATTCTTATAAACTGCGATTACTTTTCCTTTACACAGTCAAAATCTAACACAGAATTTAACTCTAAAGAGCCGCTTCTACATTCCATTGAACTGAATTGTAACGTATGATATTTTGAAATGAGTAAACCATTAAAGTTAATGATAAAACTTTACCGTATTCTGTATGGTAATGCAAAACAGACCATGCACAATTTTAAAAACGTTTTTCCGAATAATTTTTATTTTATGCGTTAACTTCACTCAAAAAGGAATTTTTGATTAAGAGGTCATTATTTAGCGGTCATTAATAATAATGACCGGGTAATTATATCCCACGTGCAATGATTCCTACTTCCTAGGTCATTATTGCTGTAAACGGTACCATTTGGAGTCATTGTTGTGTTTTAAAGTTTTCTTACCAGCCAATCAAATCCGAGTATTATCAATACAGGTATAATAATATCTTTTTTTTTAAATCAGGTACAGGCAGTAAATGAAAGATGACTTCTCTATGATGAAGAGATCTCATGTACCACCCGCATTAAATCATCTAGTGGAAAACAGCAGCTCAGAATCCCAGCAACAACCATCAAACCCAGGACGGCATATAACTGAAACAGAGTCATCTCGAGTGAATCAGAACTCAAATGTAGAACAGTGTTCATCTTCTACTCAGCATCAACATCCAGAGGCAACAGCAGGGCCCAGCGGTGTGGTGGGAAGGGCGGAGAAAAGGAAGCATGAGGAATCCGAGGGGGAGTCCTCACATGGACATAAAAAGCATATAACAGGGACCCCCCAGGACTTACCTAATCCAGTACTCCTTAACAGGAAACCTGTTACTCCAAACAATGGGGGAAGAGTTGAAGCTGATGCCAAGGTGCCCCAGTTACAAAAGTCTGTGGCATCTACCTCGAAAAACCCATTTGTTTTTAGTTCCCATGTTGTAGTACCAGATACAAGGAAGGCAAAGAAATCCACCCAGGGTTTTGGTCCCCAAGCAGCTCAAACAGCAGTTCAACATGAAGCGAAAAAGCAGACTAAAGCAGTAGGAAAAGCTGGAACATCACATCAGCCGATTAACCAAACTAACAGTAATAGTCCTGGTGCAGGTATAAATACACCTATAAATAGCACTAGGTATCAGAGAGAGTTAGCAGAGAGAATATCTCAGAGAACCGCAGGTAGTTCCAGATCCAATACAAAAACTAGAACCGAGCGTCCGCAGCCAACAAGGACAGTGACACGGGAATCCACAACTGTTCAGCCTCACTCCAACTTTGTGTTACCCCAACAGCAGAGGGAGAGGACAGCAAGGAACGTCAGAGGGCAGTTAACGAGAGCCCAGTCTGCTGATCATCACGTGAGAAGTCTGACACCCCCAGAGACTGTAAGAAGTGTGTATAGTCGTCAGAGATCACTACTGACCAATCATGAGAACTCCCCCATGTTGTCTCATCAGCCAACGGCATCATGTTCCTCCACTCTCCTACAGCTGCCCTCTGACGGTCTCTTTCCTCTTTATCCTTTGGGGCAGCCTGAGGATTCAACTTTCAGATCTCCATTAGAGCTATCCTCAACCATATCACCATTTACACAGGAAGATATCTACAGTTACTCACCATTCCAGTCAGCAACAGAGAGCGCATCATGTCAGGAAGGCTACTCCTCCTCAGTATCACCCAAAGTAAAGTCACCTCGATCCTCAGGGGAGGCACAGTCAGGCAGTGTCCCTCCCTCCAATGTAGGGATCAAAAGGGCGGGGCCTTATCTGTTAGGTATGCTATAAATCAGCAAATTTTAGCATGCAGTATCTAATGATATTTTATAGTAATGGAAGGAATGAACTTTTAATAAGTTACATGTGTATTGATGGTTGTCTAGGACCTTATGTTTAATCAAGTTAAATTTGGGAAATATATTATGTATACTAGTCTTGTTATTATAATGAAGAAAAAGTTTACTACTTGCATCTACATATAATCTGAAACAAACTTCTAAATGCAATGGATGATACAATCTGTTCTGTTTTGTTTTACAGGCCCTAGACTGGGTTCCTCTCCTGTTAGAAGTATAGTACAGTGTCTGGCCAGAAAGGAAAAGACAGATGATTTTTATACTCTGAAGGTAGCAAACATGAGGGTGTCTATTTATGAACATGTACATTATTAACAGTAAATTTTACACATTTTGTCAAGTTATCACATTTTGATCCCAGTACATTTATAGTGTTCATTCTTTTATAATCTTTGGTAAGATTATTTCTGAAGCTCATAGGACATTAAATAATTATCCAGTGTTTTTCACAGCAAAGACATTCAGAGAAAGTAATGTTACACTATTGGTGAGTAGCATTCATCTTTACTTGTATTTTGTAGATCCTAACACTAGAAAAATCCGGAAGAGAGACCCAGGATGGAAAACAGGGCAAGATGTTACTGCACACTGAGTACTCACTGCTGAGTCTATCATCACGGGCTATTCAAGGTAAGACCAGGGGGGATCTAGGATTTTATATAGAGACTAAGCAATTTGGAGTTACTCAAAGACCAGGAGGGGGTGGTCCATCATCACGGGCTATTCAAGGTAAGACCAGGGGGGGGATCTAGGATTTTATATAGAGACTAAGCAATAGCTAGTGGAGTTACCAACCTTCATGTCTAGTTGTAAAAAGATAAAAATGACTGCAATAATCACAGTGCAATGAAGTCATGTCAAAAGGGAGTATAAGGCTATGACTAAGATTTCTTTACCAATAAAGAAAACAGCGTGTAAAGAACAATTATTACACATAGAAATTTTAATGAATTTTCTTCTTTTAAAGGGAAAATTTTGTTCAGGTCAGTGTTGTGGCCCATGGGCCTTTTGTTTATCGTGTTATAGTACATGTATATCACTGACTTTTACCAGGATGAAGCATGGGAAGAGCGTGACACCTTGGATCAGTGGGGTCACGTGGAATTCACGGGTCAGAAAATCACCCGGCTCTGTCTGGTCCTGGATTGTTTGACCCCGCACGATTTCAGCAATAAGAACGTAGACCTCATCAACTTACAGCACTACGTCATCAAGGAGAAAAAACTGTCAGAGAAAGAGGCCATCGTCATCTTCTATGATATTGTCCGCATTGTGGAAAGTCTTCATAAGGTATGAAGTACTACTGTAGATCACTTAATTTTCGCGACACCTTATTTTCGCTAGATAGTCATTGACATTTTAATAGTGAGACAAAATTTTCACAAATTATGGTCATTGCTCTATATAATCTTAGGGAATTCTATTATACGCAAGAATGAAATTTTTCACGAACATACCGTCTCGCGTAATTACGCGAAAATGAAGTTCTCGCGAATAAAAAGTGATTTACAGTACTTCCCAGGAAAACATACATAAATATATAAATACCTTTACTATTGAATGAAATAAGACCTGTCACATATGAGTAAGAATTTTAAATTTTTAATAAAACAGAGAATGAAGTTGAGAAATATCACATTGCAAATGAAAATTCAAGAAATTTCCTGGGTGAAAAATAATTTATCAAGAGCACTTTGAAACCATAAATATTCTTTGAATATAAAAATTATAATTATTATCCTTTTGTTTTACAGAAAAATATTGTGCACAGAGACCTGAAACTTGGTAATATGATGTTAAACAAGAGGTCAAGAAGGATTACAATCACAAACTTCTGTCTTGGGAAACATTTAGTGTCAGAAAAGGATTACCTTAAAGACCAGAGAGGAAGCCCCGCCTACATCAGTCCAGATGTTCTCAGTGGTAATAATCTTAGTCACTACTTAGTGGCATTTTCTTAAATAAGGGCCTAGTCTGGGGCCATGAAACTTAGATGAGCTCACTTTTGATCTCAGTCTCATTTTTACCAAAGGAATTAATTGTAGAAAAGTGAGACTGAGATAAGAAATGAGCCTGTCTAAGTTTTATGCCCCTGGACTCTGAATGTTATGTCATCTTTGTAACATGTTGTATAACTTATTGAAAAATCCATAAGTAATGTACTGTTTATGATGCAAGTTCCCCAGCATTGCACAATGTTCACATGAATATATAGTGATGCTTTTGATTGGTTATTTTATTGATCTGTGCTGTTATTAGCTTGATGATTTTGATTGGCTATTCGTTGGTTTGGTTTGTATTGATTGGTTTTGATTTTATTGACTTTTCTTGATTGGTTTCTTCTGTTTTTCTAGCTAAACCGTACCTTGGTAAGCCCAGTGACATGTGGGCTTTAGGAGTGGTACTGTTTACAATGCTGTATGGACAGTTCCCTTTCTACGATGTGGTGCCGCAAAAATTATTCTCTAAAATAAAAGCTGCAGAATACAGCATTCCACAGTAAGTCAAACAAAAAGCAGTCTGATATGAATTCATAAGTCTATCAGTATTCTATGAAAATAACAAAAATTTACCCCACACAAAAATTAGTAATTTCACTGTAAAACTTTAATATTTATCTTGTCTCCTTGTGCCAGTATATAGAACGCTTCTCCCTAGATGTACTTAAATTATGAATTATTTACTTTATCCACTGATAGTCTTCCTTAGGTCTTGCAAAAATAACAGAGGCATGTCATGTATGTTAAATCTTAAGTCGTTGAATGAAACCTTCACTGTACAAATTTCAGAGATGAGAGAGTTTCCACAGACACCATTAATATAATCAGGAAGTTACTGGTCCTGAATCCCGAGAGTAGATACACAGCTACCCAGGTTCTAGTGGCACTGACAGGGATAATAGATAAATGGTAAGGTGCCTGTAAAATACTGTAAATATTACAGGGATAGATAAATGGTAAGATCCTTTAAAATACTATAAATCTGAGAGGGATAATAGATAAATGGTATAGTGCCTGTAAAATACAGTTAACATTACAGAGATAATAGATAAATGGTAAGATGACTGTAAAATACTGTAAACATGAAAGGGATGATAGATAAATGGTAAGATGGCTGTAAAATATTGTAAATCTAACAAGGATAAAAGATACCATAGGTAAGATGACTGTAAAATACTTTACACACTGGTTATATCAAGGGATGGGAAGTTTGACAATTTAATCATTATCTGATCATAGAACTTAAGAAGTCTACTATTATCTTGCTTTTTGATAAGAATGAGAAAGTTTAGAAGTAGAAATTTTGATGATTGATAGGGTGGTCATTTTACTAAATTTAGCAATCTCCACATTCTTAAAGACAGCACATGCATCTACAGTTCTGTAAAGATCATCAGAGCTCATGTTCAATCCATCTGAAAAAAGGTTGAGGTCGTAAAACAAATCCAAAGTTTTACAGAGATTTTTAAAAATTCTGTTTAAACCATGTTCTCTTGAGAAGAGATAAGGCCATTAAAATTGACTTTTTACAAGACAAGTATTTTATGAGAAGATCCTCAAATTTGTAGAAGAATATATCTGAAACAAAAAAAAATTGAGTTTCAAGAAATCAATGTGCTAGCATCCTTATAATATCATGTAGATGTCTCAAAGAAAATTGTCATTTTCTTTTAAAATATTTATAGAAATTATGTTTTAATGCATGTACATATTTGTTTGAGTAGTAATCTGTAAGAAAGAAAATTGAGATACTGTGAAGATTGTTAAAGTTCTCAATTTTGAATTTTCAAGGAAAGCAATGTCTTCAGAGTCAGGTCCACTGCAAGTGGTGCCAGAAATTGACATTGTGGAGGACAACCCAAAAGTAGATTCTAAGTGTGGTGACCAGTCCTCTACACAGAAGACAGACACTGATGCTCTCCTCAGTCAAGCAGACGACACTCTGTCCAGTACAGGGTCACTGTCATCAGATAGCCAAGAAAGCGGCAAGCAATCCAAAGCGGTACGCCATGGCAGGCGCCGCTCCTCTGTACAACCGCCAGTCCAGAGAATGAATTACGATGCCGTTCCTCTAACAATGGCTGAGGTTGAAGCTCACCAACAGATATTTAGTCAACAAAGGACGTAAGTCTTTGGAAAGTTTAGGGAATCAGAAACGGCTTCATTCTCATCCTTGTATAATTCCTTAAGTAGTCCAAAATTCTATATATGGTTTACATTGAAAAGTATTAGGACAAGTACTTTCTTGATGAGATATTTCATTCTCTAAATGTTAAGTCTAATGCTGTGGTTAGGTAAATGAAAAAAAAAAGAGTTTATAATTAAGGATTTCTAAGTATGATTTGAAGCTACATGTATGTAAAGGATACATATATTAAGATTAAATTTCCCCATGACTGCATGCTTATATATATTGAACAGATTTTTTTTTTTTGGTAAATTGTACATGTTTAACTGTAACTTTATGATAATATATGTAGTAGATTTTTAATCTGTCTTTCTTGTGTTTTTGATGAAAGGGGTATTTCAGAGATTTATGTACATTTACAGTGTATACCTTATAAAATATGTCTGCATTTAGAAGTTTGAAATTTTACGAGTTTTGAATAAATTTTTAGAGACAGGCAAATAAATATCTTTTGGATTTACATGTGTATTTATTTTGACTAAGTCGTTTACAATATTGTAATAACAAAGAAAAATTGGTAAAAGAGTGCTAAAAATAGTGCATATTTAATATCATTAGAGAATTTTTGTTGAGATACATTTATTGCTGCATGTAGTATATAGAATTTTAATCTTGTTAACCCTGACATATTTACATATGTGTATACTAAGTAAGGGCCAAATCCATCAAATTGACTTCAGTGTTCAGATGTTATGTAGCATTGTTATATTAGCCGAGAAGTCTCAAGAATTGAGAATCTAACATAGGGCAAAGTGTTTATTATTGTTATTCACATGAAACAGTTTATAATGTTTATATGTTGTGTGTATACAAAGAATTTACAAAGGTTGATAAAATACAGAGGTTGTAAAAATATCCTTTATTTATTATCTGTTTTGTTTTATTTATTATATTGCATTTGTGCCAAAAGTAAACATACAGACAAGCGTACATTACAGAACCAAATAGTTTATAAAAAACCAAATTTCCTTTTGTGTTACAGATTTCAGTGAGAGGTATCTATCGTTGTATGATCTCTGTGTCAAATTTTTACTTCTTGTTCTTACTCCTTTTTCTTTTTTTCCTTTTCCATAAATACTGTATGTGTAAAGAAATAAACAAATTCAAAATTTAGCACAATCACGTGGTAGTGAGTGGTTGGTGTAATCATGAATTAGTGCTTTTTGCATTTTGGCTTGTATTTGTATAAATAATTTATTACCGATATTCAATAATTAGCGCATCGTTGTCCGCGTCAAAGCCACTAAAATATGAAGCAATTTTTTTTAAGTACACACACAGTACTAGCCCAAAGAACTCTACATCCCCCACAGTTTACCATCGTTTGTATTTCTAGAAATATGGATTTTTTTTTTTTGAATTTCAGTTTATTCAATAGATTTTTTTTGAACTGAACAAAACATTGTTGAATATGTTGAGTGTCTCTCATCACTTTGTAAAAGCTAATTACTGGACAACACTTTCAGGAAGTGAACTTTGTTGTACTGTAAATCACTTTTTATTTGCGAGATCTTTATTTTTCGTATAATTGCGTGAGACTGTGCTCGCAAATATATCATTCTCGTGTATATAAGTATTCCTTAAGATAACGAAGAGCAGTATCCATAGTTAGTGAAAATTTTGTTCCGCTAATAAAAAGTGAATATCTATCTGGTGAAAATAAGGTGTCACAAAAATTTAGTGATCTACAGTTCTATTAAATGAATTTTTTTTTTAAATATCTATATTGCACTTTGGACAAATAAGTTACTTGTGTTTTGTAAATTTATTAATCAGGACACATTGTAGATTTCCAGTTATTATAATTTATAAATCATGAAACACATTTGCATGGTACATGTATCCTTTTTGTATGGAGAATACAGTTGTGATCAAAGTGGTCTGTTGATCATAGAAATGTATGCATTGCTCTTGTCAAACTTTGATTTGTACATGTATGTATAATCAATGAATTATTAGAATTGTATACTTTTTGGTCCATGCAAGTCAATAAATTTTGTTTTTATGTCCATTGTTTTCTTTTTCTGAAAGTATTTTATACAAATCATGTTCTTAAAGGTTATTAATGGTGTCTGTACCAATATGTATTGCTTAAATTTGCTCGATTTTAACTTCTTCAAATCCACTAGGATAATTTTTCTCATATGTGCCATAGTGCATCATTTTGTGAAGTAAATTCATATTCAGTTTTGTTCAGACCCTGAATGGTTCTTAAAAGTAGAGATTGTAATTATTGAAAAAAGATAGGATTTTTTAAGAATCTTATAAGTGAGACCACTGGGAAGATAAAACTAAGATCTGAACACTTTTCTATGAAGTATAGATTAACTATTTTGTTTTGTTGTTTTTTTTTTTTACCTAGGAATATATGTAAAATCTCAAGAATAAAAAAGCAACAATTGAAATAACATGGAAGAACTCACTTAAAAAAAATTAGAAATAGCAGATGTATGACCTTTCACAAAATATGGATTTTTTTTTTAATTGAAAATGGATAATATTTTCAGATTTCCCTTGCTAGAGTTAGAATGATTTTCATGATTTAGCCCCCCCCCCCTCATTTTCTAAAATGTTGGGGTTTTTTTTGTTTTTGGGGGAGAATTTAACCTGTAAACTCTTAAGATTTTGATCTTCTGGAATAACTCGCCATATGGCTTTAACAAAAGTAATGAACATAAAATTGGAGCACTTATAGATTTCAAATACTTTATATTTAATGCTATATACATAAGACTCTGTTCAGATTGAAGAGCACAGTGTTTTAGATAAAGCTGATTATGCTATATTTGTATTTCCTTACATATTTTATGAATGGAATGAAATATTTTGATGTTTGAATGGAAACAGTACACTTTAATGCATGATCATCCACCATGGCAAAATGGTCTAATTAGGCAGAAAGAAAATATGTACTATTAAGAGGGTCAGGAGACTTAGGGGAAGACTAGAGCCTCTGTTTTATTGTTTATATAAAGCGAGAAGACGCTTTGGATGTTCAGCCGTGCAAATTCTAGAAAGGTTTGAACACAAACAAAAGCTTGCTCTCTGACAAATGTTCCTTTGTCCAAGTTGACTAATGAGTAAATCTCAAATTGCTCAAAAATGTGCCTCCATTTAATTGATACATTTTAAAGACTCTCTCTCAAAATATCTCCACTTGATTGATGTCATTTTGGTGTCCCTTATCTCTAAGGGTGCCTCTTTAGGTTGCATTTGTATTTTTTTTTCCTTGTTTGTTGATTTATTCTGCATTTTTTAAATTTGATTGTCATCACTTTTTATGAGCCGATCCTAACCACAGAAGAAACCCTTAAATTACTCAAAAAATACCTGCTGTACTTTCTCACGATACTTTAATTCATTATCTACATAGTTTGTAAAGTTTAATTCGTTGTTTTGAAGTTTTCAAGATTCGGATGCCACGCCCCCTTTGCAATGACCACACGTGGTTGGCTGTGACGTCACGATGTCAGTATCGCCAAACTCGTACACAAGTGCACATGTTTGTAATATAGAGCCGTGAAGGAATAACGAAATGGATTAATTAAAGAATAACAAATGAGTGACAAGTCAAGAAAATGATCTTCAAGCCCCCTTAATATTATTTGGAGTTCAATATGAGTGGATATTTCATTTTTTCGTGGAATATAAATTTACCTGTGAAAACAATTGATTTTGTTGACAAAGTGTTTTGTACGGGGCCCCTCTCCGCAGTGGACGGGTAAACATGACCCCGTTACATTGGAATTTTTACTCAGTATTTTTGATTCTGTGTATACAACTCCTGAAAAACGCTCTAGGTAACTCAGGTAAGCATGAAGATGTACAGATCATCTGGTATTAGAGTAGAAAAAATAATGTGTTTGTAGAGCTTTGGTACAAAAAGTCCATAGTTTCCATCCTTCAAAGATAATCACGAATAGTACAAGGAAAAATGAAATCAGTGGGGGGAAATATTACTATAAAATAAAAAGTACTTGTCACACACAGGTGCTTGCAGACTTTTTTTTAACAACAGCAGTCTCAAAAGTAGGTCCAAACTGTCGCTGTCTCTTTAAAAGTTGACACCTTTTTTATGGACACAGTCTTGTGACCAGGCGAATGGCCGGAGATCGCGGACAACGCAGGAACCGTGGCACCTGGCCATAAATGTCACGCTAGCCAGAAAATTTACTGTCCAATTAATTTTACTGCATTTAATAAATTACCACTTCACTATTACAACCGCTTTGTAACGTATGAAGTGAAACATTCTCTTGCTGGACAAATGTTAGCCAGATTTATATATTGTGTATGATTAATTCCCTTAATGACGGAATTCTGATCCTTGTTTGACCATTTTTATATTGACATTTTCCAGGTGTTTAATATTACGTAGTTTTACTACTCAATTCATCTGAATTTGAGATTAGGACTTGGTACTTTTCAATACACAGAATGGTTTCTAATTTGTTTTTATCAAAAATTGGCTTCAAGTTCTTCATTCAATGTTAGAAATGTGAGAGCCATATTTTCACACAAACGTTATGTCATGACCCATACAAGATGTAATGATTGTAGTGGAATTTATTACTTTCAAATGTTAATTTCTGCACTTAAATTTTCCTTGAAGCACAAACTGTTCGGAGCAGTCATCTGAAGAATAAATTATCATATTAAAACTCTTTGAGTCGATGTAAGTTTAACATATAAGAAAAACAGGTAAATGTTTTGCTGAGGATGGAATATTTAATTTTTAATTTCTCTCTCTCTCTCTCTCTCTCTCTCTCTCTCTCTGAGACCATTAAGATTCTAGCTATTGATTTTCTTTTGAAAAGGATGTAAAGCTCTTTCAACTTTTCACCAGTCATTCTTCCCTTCCTAAATGATGTTCTAAATCCGATTATTATCACCCTTCTTCTACAACCCCTGCTTGTTTTTCTAGTTCACTGGTACCACAGTAGCTTGTTCATTCACCAGTAAAAGATATTTAGATGTTATCAACTGTATTTCTATAGGTGGGGGACATTTTCTGGCCTTGTTTCTCCTATGGACACTCACTTTAGATACTGACTTTGGTCTGTTTTAATGTAAGGACTTGATTTGAGCAGAACTTGATCAAATTCTTTTATCCATGGATGTATTCCTATTTTGGGAGAACATATTCATTAATAAATTCCTAATACAAGATTGAACATATATTGAAGTTTTTTACAGATTCAAATGCATTTTTTTGCTTCATTTTAGAAGATAATTTTCCCTCGTGTTTCTTCAGGTTGGTTGATATTTGATCAGATAAAGGACTCTAAAGCTTACCAAATGTTGCAATGCATTTATTTCGGAGACTTTTCTCCAAGGCACTTTGTAATGAATTCATTTCAGGCTATAACAGGTGAATTAAGTTTATACACAATGGCTAAAACTGTTTTACTCTTTGATGTGTATCGATGCAGATTTGATATATGTTTTAAACATATACAAGACCTATGGCCCAGAAATGATTTAAAATGCAAAATTTGATGTTCAGTGAATTAATACCTACAAATTACTATAGTGTTATATATTTAATGAAATTTATAATTGAATTTTTGAGTGTCATTAAAAATATTTTCATAACATTTTTTCTTCTGGCACATATCAATTTCCTATTATTCATTTTTTTTGTAAATCAAGTATACATTAATACTTATTTCAGAGCCATGCAATGTCTTGTTTTGCATGAGGAACTTTGATTTTTTTAATGGATTAAAAAATTGTATAACCAAAGTCAATAATGTCCGAGAAGGGTTTAGGGAATTTAAGGATATATGTTCTACACAGGTGCCTAAAATTATGAATGAAAACAGCTGACTGTCCCTGCAAGGCATTTTAATATCTAACTTGTGGAGAATTAACCAAAAATTTGAAGTTATGCTTCAAATGAATGTAAACTGTTCCCAAATCCATTTGGAGATAGGCCAGGTACTTTACAGCTGAGTAATAATATTGACAAAATTGAATATCGATGAGCAGGATATACATATTTCTAACTTATCTATAAAGTAAACATGTATTCAAACAAATTGTCAGGCCCAACCAATTTAGATCTCTAACCTTGTGGTGCTCATAGATGTATAAACTTTAATCGCACCCCACCCCATTGGGCTCCCCTCTCTTCCAATGGAAGCAGAAAGATGCTGCAAAGAATATATCACATATAAATTATCATTAAAAAATATTGCCTTGAAATTTAATAGTTTGTTCTACCTGCTCATCAGTTTTTTAATTGACCCAACTCCAACAGATTTAGTGAGTATCTTTAACTACTGCAAAGTACCAGTTATTTTTTTTTTTTAAACATTCGGTTACCCACCACCCAGAGCATTGGTTCTTAGCTCAATGTGATAATCATGAATGCCTGATCATTTTCAAGGTCAACAGGCCAATATCATTTACAGTACTTATATAATGAAAGGTAAAGGTAAAAATTTGAGCACTCTGGAGAACGTTAAAGCAGGTACCAATCATGGACACTCATCCACTCCACGCCACTCAGCTTTTTACCCCAAGCCTGGACAGGGAGGGACATTGTTCATGTCTAAGTCCAATACTTACAATTTACCATTCTGTATCTATACTTCACCAAGGTAATTCTGTATAGATACAGAAGAGTAATGGATGTTACATTTTTCTGTAACACCTTTTTGGGAATCCAGTTATACAACAGCAGATTTTAAACTATTTTTGGATTTCCTCAGCCAATCAGATATCAGTGTTGTTTCCATTGTCAAACTATAACATATAAAACATATAAAAATAAATCTCACTTTCTTTGTCAGATTGAATTTCAGTACAGGAGATTTTAGAGGTATAAAATGTTTTGTAAGATATAATAATTCAAAGACTTATGATGAATCATAGACTTTAAAGCATCAATTTTTATACAAAACGACCATCAATCAAATTTCTCACATTCTTTTTCACAACCCTTTTGATTCATGTTAATTCAATCCAAATAATGTCACCTGTTGCTTAATTGTTCTTCTG